TTCAAAGTAAGAGATAAGAAAATAATTCCTTGTAAAAAAAAAAAAAAATCATAATAAAACATAAATACATAAAATTATTGTATTTGACATTTCTGTCACTTCTGAAATGATGGCTATGCTCCTAGTGTGACAAAATGTTAGCCTATACGTAATACTTTTAAAGCTCTTTTAAAATCTTGGCATTTCTACATATGGCATAAATTTCTACATATGCCATGTCATGCCATAGCATCATTAAACTAGCATCCAACAATGGACAAAAGTGTTTTTTTTCTATAACCTATGGTTCTCTAACCATAAAAGCTGCTGTGTAATTTACCCCCTGACTAAGCATTTAAATAATTTAGGGGAAGCATTTAAATAATCCTGTGAATGCACTTAAATAATGCAGAATCGAATCGTTAATCGAATCGAATCGAATTTAACTGTGAGTCGAATCGAATTGAATCGGTCTGAATTTGCAAAAATCATTCTTGAATCGAATCGAAAACCTATGAATCATGAATCGAATCGATTCGCTGACTACCCAAAGATTCACAGCCCTACTGGTTAGTGATGCATCGATCTTACATGGCCAATTCCGATTGCTAATGTTTTAGAAGCGAGTAAGCTGATTCTGATAGCTGATTTAAAAAATATTTAGACCTATTTTATTTATTTTTTTAAAGCGAGAGACAATAAAAATTTAAATGAACAAGACATTTATTTGGTCTATTATAGTCTGTATCTGTAGCCATTTAAAATTAGAAACAACCATAGCATTTTAATCATGATCGAAACAAAGATGCTGCATACATGAGCAGTTTCAGATGCAAATTAGAATGTATTATTTCAAAATCTGAATCAAAAACAGGTCTGACTTTAACTTTGTGAAATTATGCTACATAAAACAAATTCATGAAACAAAAACAGCAGACGGTCTGAATGAAAATGCAGATTAAGGCTATGTTCACACTTGGCATCTTTTTTGAAGCTGCCAGCATCTGTTTTACATTATAATCCTATGGAGTAAACCGTGTTTTCAAAAAAGTCCTGAGCGCTTTTTAAAATGCCACCGCCGGCGTCTTTTTCTGCAGCTCAGAGCGTCTTTTCAAGTTGAAAAAAGTTAAACTTTTCTGAAAAAAAACACCCTACGTCAAGCACCTTTTTGACAGCTGACCAATGACAAGCGAGTGGCAAGTCGTTTCCATAACAACAAAAACAACAAGAAAAATGGAAAAGATAGCCGGTAGATTAGTTCGTACTAGTTTCGGAGCACAAGGAGTTGTATGATGTGAGCACAAAACTGTATCTAACTTAGTCTAAAATATGCCACAAACTGCATCATTCAACCGGAGCTCCTGGACTAAATTGTTGTAAGCACCATACTGTTTCCTTCCCCGTATAATGTCGTGCTCCCACAAACATCGTTGTGAACTGACATTCACCTCCCCGTTAACTTCAAAAGGCAACGCAAGAGCCAACTTTTTACTCTTTCTCGACATTTCTGCAGCATATAGCGCTAGGCTACTGTTGCAGCTGTTGTTATAGCAACAAAAGACGCCCTCGGCTGCTATTTATAAACAAAATGCTGCCAGCTTTTTATTTTACTAAAAAAGCGCTCGTCAACTTTTTCTTGTCAAAAAAGATGCCAAGTGTGAACACGCCCTAACTCTTTGACAGCAGGTGGCGCTTATGGAACAGCAGCAGTAGTGTTTCCTTGGTTACCGCTGTAAGCAAAGCAGTGCTGCACTTACTTCTTTATATAAGCAATATACAGAGGCAAGATGAGAAGAAAATGTCATTTAAACTTTTCTCAGTCAAGACAGTCAGTTACCCTCAGAAATACATTAATTTTAACCCCCACTACCAATTCAATATTTAGGATTTTCTTTCTATATTTCGCGCATAGTGATCAGTGAGCTTGTTCTGCCTGCTACAGTATTTTCTTTTATTTGCGTCCTTCTTCAACGTCTCTACAGACTTCGTAATATTTCCACACAGATGACATTTTGGAAAATGATTTCAATGCAGTTTGTGCAAGTCCAGAACAGAGATTGGCTGAAATAAAACAAAAAACCGTTCGGTTCTGAGTTAGCTCCCTGTTACGTGACAACGGAGTGCAGCGAAGTGATTGACGGCTAATATAACCAATCTAAAATACGCATTAAAGTTAAGAATGTAAAGATGAAGCTTAATTGGTTATGAAACTTCGGATAGAATGGTGGAGTGGTCACTGTATCGGCTCACAGCAGGCACATACCGTGTAGTAATTCGCGAACGTTTAGCAGAGAAATGAAGACAGGTTGCACCACAACAATTATGTGCACTCGCACAAATGCTTCCAAATATATTTTGGGGTCACACAGATTACATTTCGAGAGCATATATTCGCAAACCCTGCGGTGTATATGAGTTTTCAGCGAAGGTGGATTAGGGTTGTGCATTTCTTTAGGTAAAGGTCTGTGTAAGTGCTTATTTGGTTGTTTTCTGCAGGTTCTGATAGTTCATGATGGCGACAGGTGGAACGCCATTTGAAGACGGCACAGATGAGCAGGAGCTGCACAACCGGACCATCTCCAACGGAAGCTTAGATGACCGACTCAACAATATGGTATGAATCAATTGCACTGATACTCCAATGTAACGGGAACAATAGCATGCTGCAGGAATGACGTTTGTTTGTAGGCCAACCCGGAAGTTAGCATCACCCTTATTCTCTTAACAAAAAGCCAGTAGGATTGTTCCTTTGGCTTTTGGATTATTGCAGAAATTATGCATGGTGATCAATAAAAGGTTGTGATGTTTACACGTTTAGTTCATCAAGATGATCTTCACAAGTAGGGTTGCAAAATTCCGGGAATTTTCAAGACTGAAAACTTTCCATGGGAATAAATTGGAATATATGGGAATTAACGGGAATTAATGGGAATAAACTGTAAATTTGCAAAATTGCAGGAACTGGGGACTTAAATGTAGTTGAGAAAAAATCTTGCAGCATAATCTTGGTTAAAGGGGTCATATGATGTTGCTAAAAAGTGTTTGTGTGTGCTGTCTGCGTCACTCATAGTACGTGCTTATATCGTGCACTATATCGAAAAAATTTTCTATTGATATCGAAGAAGGTGTACCGTCGATAAATATCGATACCATTTTATCGCCCAGGCCTACGGTAAAGCGATGGCACCTGCCGCATTAAAGAGCGCCAAAACTGTATGTATTGTTTGAATTTCGTTATGAATTTGACATAATTTTAAAGCTGATACTTTGTTTATTAAAAAGTAACAACACTTTTTGCGATTAATGGATGGCAAGTGTGCTTCAAATAATATGAAGTTCATGCATTAACAGAACACAACATATAGACTAAGATCTTGATAAGAAGAAGCCATATTAGTAATGATTATAAACGAGAATTGTTAAAGATATTGCCAATATCCACACAGCTGACAGCTTTACCTGTTGTAGGTTGTTCAAGTTGTGCACGAAATAGACTCTGCTTTTGTGCACTTTTACTTCCACGTCTCCGTCATGTCGATCTCTCTCGCGCTGTACAACAGAGCTGTGTTTATCAGGTGTGCGTCAGCGCAGCTGTGCGGCAGAGATGAGGACTGTTTGAAACTCTTTTTTTCAACTAAAACTTTGATGCGCATTGTCTCAGTTTAATACGTGAACACAGCAAATGATCCGATCGCAAAACAATCAGGAAAAAAGGCATTACATGCAAATTTTTAAGTCCTATCATGTAAATATAGTCGCCATTGGTGACCTCAGCAGAAACTTAACCCGCAAATTAATATTTTTGGTCGCAAATGCGACCGTTTTAGTCGCAGTCTGGAGCCCTGGTATGCACGCTATATTTGAGAGCTGTTGTGCAGCTCATGCTTAGTTGATTGATCAATAAAGCTTTAGCAAAACCTCATTAAACTGTGCTATCATTTATGGTTTGTAAATGTTGATTTGCCATTCTCTCAGGATTGGGGAGTGCAGCAGAAGAAGGCCAACCGCTCCTCTGAGAAGAACAGGGAGAAGTTATCTGCTATGTCAGAGAGCCGGCTAACCAATGACATTTCTCCAGAGTCCACTCCTAGAGCAGGACGACGGAGGGCACGTACACCCCATTCCTTCCCTCATGTGAAGTACAGCACTCAAATGTCTGTGCCCGACCAGGCTGAGCTTGATAGACTCCGGCAGGTCATAAACTTCACCGATCTGGATGAGGTGAGTGGGGCTTTATAACCAGTATTAGGTTTATAACACGCTTGGTTTGACTTGTTCGATCTGACTGAAGATCTAAGCTTGTTACTGTTTCAAGACAGAAAGTGCATGGATTTAGGAAATAGTTCTGAAGCAAATCCTTAGAAGCGAGTCCTTTACACTCAAATAGTCACTATCAAATAGATCACTGTCAAATTCAGGCCAGCTTTAAAAGGAAATGTAAATGTCAGAGTCATCCTTTGGTAAACCAAAATATCACTTTTCATCCCAACAGAGAAGTATTGGCAGTGATTCTCAAGGCCGCGTCACTGCAGCCAACAATCAGAGACAGCTGTCTACTGAGGCCAAGAAACCTTTCAACTTCCTGCCAATTCACCTCAACACTAACAAAAGCAAAGAGCCCACTGCAACCACCTCTTCCACACCTGGGGGCAAGGAACCCAAGAAACAGAGTCCTGGGAAAGAGTTGTTTGCCCCAGTTCCTGATGCGGTTAAAGAGCCTTTTAGTCTGGACAGTGGCCATCAGTTCACATCAGAGGATGGAAAAGCAGAGCTTGGCATTGACAGCAGTCAGGTAATCAAGAGTTTAATGTCTTTATTATGTGTCTAGGTGTGTACATGTGCATTTGCAGGACTCCAGACTAGTGGTCGACCGATATTGGTTTTTTGACAGCCGATGCCGATATCTTGGAAAGCAGAGTGGCTGATGGCCGATATAAAGCCGATATAATTTTATTTATTTTATTTAATATTTAAGAAATTTGAAATAATTTGAAAATGGATTAAAAAATAAATGTGTAAAATAAACATGCTTATACTTTAACCTCCTGGGGTCGACAGTTCCGCCGGCGGAAATTTTTGCAGCCCCAAAACACCCTCGGACCCCAGAGGGTTAAATGACAATGTATTTTTCACAAATAAACAAATAGTTAATAAAAATGTAATTAAAAAGGAAGTAAACACTTTAAACAACAGGGCACTCCGTATTCTGGGAAGTTTGTGTGCATTAGGAATCATATTTTTTTCAAATTAAGCCAAGGTAACACTCATTTTACATACAGCACACAGTGAAAATGACATGAATATGACATTGGGCAAAAGCATTAAGCGCAGCATAATTTGAAATCACGAGTTTAAAGTTTGTCGATCGCACGTCTCAATGAAGCCGAACTCTCCTCCTGTCGGTATTCAATTCGCACGGACCGACTGTCATGCAGAGTACACGCGATCATGCAGGATAAAAATGCACACTTCATAAGATCTCACAGCTGGATTCGACTAAGTTTGCAAGGTTTTTGAAATTAGATGTTCATTAGTCATTCAAAGATTTGTTTAAATTATATAAATGCGTAATTGCTGAATGCTGACAAAAATTACTATTGTTTTGCATTAATAAGTGCAGTTTCTAATAATATTTCTTGGTAATATGCAATTGACAGTAAAGCACTGAGCTTGAGTTGGGAAGCATGCAAAATTTACTTTTATTAACAACAGTAGCGTGCAAAATCAAATTTTTATATAGAAAATATTTTCTACTCTTATTAAATGTACAATTATTCTTTTATAATATTATTATAGGGAACTGACCGACAACTTCAATGATTATAAAAAGAACACTCTTTATGTGCGATTCAGTCGCAAATTGAAGAAAAGTTTGTTTTTCAAGGCACTTTGTGACTTTTCTTACTTCATACACAAAAAAAAGTGTAAAATTCTGACAAAATCTGATTTCTTGATGATTTGAAATATTATAGTAGTGATTTTATAATTTCAAAATATAGAGAAAAAGTAGAAATTAATGACTATTAAGCCAATAAGTGCTCCTCTGCTGCCGTCTACTGGTTATACACTTTGTGACTTTTCTTACTTCATACACAAAAAAGTGCAAAACATTGAAAAAATTTGATATTCTATAATACTGATTTTATCATTTCAAAATATAAAGCAAAAAGAAATGAATGACTAATAAGCCAATAAGTGCTCCTCTGCTGCCATCTACTGCTTATAGTGGTAATTTGATGTATTTTTTTATTTTACATAAGTGTTTGTTTACTACAAATTATATTTTGGTCATCCCATTAAAAATAACATTTAAATTGGGTAATTTTTAGAGCTTTAAAGTGCTGGAAATAGTTGTGTGAAAAGCTTAAAAGTCAATGAAAAGTGCTTGATTTTCCCTACTGAAAAAGGTTGTACAAACCCTGAAATTAATAATGTAATAACATTTGACTATTTCTGACACAACACCATGGTTATAGTTAGCATTACTACTTCTGGTTTTCTGAAGTACATCAGCACTGTATGACCCGTTTATAACAGAGAATTCTGTGCAGAATTTGAATGTCTCATTAGATTTCGAAGCCGCCTTGCTCATTCTGAGGCAAATTCAAACGCTTCTCACTGAATTTTGCAGTGCTGTAACAGTGTCGCGAGATCAACACTGGTTCCCGAGTAAACCTGTTCTGAGCTCGGACCAAACTTATCCTGATAAACGGTCTGTGCTGCGCATTTCAAACGAGTAGCTCGGTTTCGCTATGCTTTTGTTTGCGGTTTGATGTTTCACAATGCGGTGGTCGCACCAGTGCAATCGCTTAAAAAAATTTAGTCGCACCAGCAGAAAAAATGTTTTTTTTGCGATTTCTCATTTGTTCCAAAATTGCTTTCTATTATTGAGAATGATTTTAGTCTGGCTATTTTGATGCGCCGTTAACATTCTAGATTTGATTTGTTTGTTTTTTTAAACCTCTAAAAGTGTTTTATCCCTCATTAGTCTGAAACCATCAAGCTTCAAGTATTATTAACACCAACTATTATAACACTGCCTATTCAGAATAGCAAGGAGACTGTTTGTAAAAGGCTTTAGAATGATCTGCTTTTTTAATAATAAAAGTAGATGGCACAACTTCGCTGCGTTCATTAGAACATTCACCCCTGTTGTTGCTGAGCAAAAACTGGAGCACAGATGTGTCAGTGAGCGCTCAGAATTTAGGCCAGTTTAAAAATATGCCACTGTCCGTGTAAGAGCTCTTCCTTGGTCTCTTTCTCTGCTTTTCTCTGTTTCTCTGTGCACTTCTTTCTATCTTTTCCATCTATTTCTCAGTCTGCTTGTCTTTATTTGTTCATTTTATTTCTTTCTCTGCTTGAGCACCTCTGTTCACTTACTCAGCTTATTTCTCCATTCAGGTGGTCAGTAAACTGGTGCAAATTCGTGAATACATTGGGAAGGCCACATCCATGAGAGACGACCTGGTGGAAAAGAACGATGTGCCTGCAAATGTGGAACGTCTCTCTCTCCTCATCACTCACCTGAAAGAACAGGAGAAGTCTTACTTGCGTTTTCTTCAGAAGATGCTGGTCAGTATTTCTCTCACAGGTCTTTAGACCTTTTTTGTTGTTACTGTGTTTTATATGCACTTTTTATGACATTTATACACCATGACTTTTTTTAGGCTGTATGAATTGTTCAGACGAATATAATGTCAGTTTTCTGTCAGTTTTTCAGTGGCTGATGGTATTGTAATTATACATCTAACATACTTAAGAAATTGTCATGCAAATTATCTTAAACTTCAAATAGTTCTAATGTAATATCTTTGCTTTTTAAGGTGTAAACTTTATTTGTGAATGATAAGCCTGATCTGCTAACCTGCAAAACTGTTCAAGGACTAGTGTCTGCTGCCTAAATATCCATAATAGGGCTGTCAAAGTTAATGCTTTTGACTATATTTAATGGCATATTATTTTTATGATGTTGTCACAGAGACAGGTGTGATTTCTGAAGACATCTATTTCAGTGAATTCTGTCAGGTAGAGGTGTTTTATTTGTGGTATTCTAAAAAAAGAGGTCATTTAAACTCAACAAGTATGAAATATCAATCATGAGTGAATCACCTTAATTTGTCCACAAATAAATAAGAAGGCCATCAGAGCACTGCAACAGCAAATTAGCTGCAGAAACAAGATTAAGTCCAAGTGTGGGGAAAATTGGGGAAAATTGCAGGTTTACATAGTTCAGTGTAGTGCTGTGTTCGATATATCGATACGACGATGTATCGTCACAGAGGTTTGACGATACGAGTATCGATACAGCTGTCTCTGTATCGATATTGTGGCACGTGTGCAGCAGTGGACCGCGCATAATTTGAATACAAGAACACCGTTTAAAATGGAGTAGAAAAGTGCGAGGTTTCTAAAAAATAATGAATAGAACATAATATATAGGCTACAACAAGGTTTAATCTGGCCACAGAGGAACACTACTGGGTTGCCTGATATAAAGAGATGTAATCCCCGAAACAGAGCTTCACACTTGCACAATACGGAAATATCTGCTAAGTGTGTTACTTATTTTTGTCAACCTGGCAACCCTTTGTAGGTGCTCTCTCTCTCCACTGTGGATAAACACGCTTGCTTTCTGAAAACACTGGTAAACTTGCAGTTTAGCGATCTCCACTTCAATATTCTATTCTCAGAAAAGTGTAATTTATCAAGTGTTCATTTATGAGAGAGAGAGAGAGACTGTGTATGTATGAATTGCCACCGCTTTGCCGCGACAGTGAAGCTGTGGATTTAATTGCTTTAGAAACGATTATGTTACCAGCTCCTTGTTGAGAAAGATAATGTAGCTCTTCGGCGATTAAGCTATTTAAGTTGATAAAATTGCGGGGCAGCGCTAAAAAGTTTGTCTGAGTGCTAAAAAGAATGTCTGTGCGCGCGCAGCATGATCTGTGTGACTAAACGTGTGTGCGTGAGCTACAGTGAATACAGTGCATTAGTTTAGAACTCTTCTAATTTTTATTTTTTAAACGTAGAGAGTGTGTTGATTTGTGCAATGATAACCTACCAGCAATGTTAAAATAATTTTAATATATTAGAATGTACATTACAATAAAAATTTATTAGAACGAGTACATTATTATTTATGGGCTTAAAAACAAGATGCAAACAATCAGAATATTGGTGGGTAGTGCCCAATGTAAACATGAAACATATGCCATTACTAGGGTTGGGTATCGTAAAAAAATTTCCGGTTCCGATTCCGGTTCCAGTTTTGCCTAACGATTCCCGATTCCGGTTCCATTTAAATTAACTATTATTATTTTTTCTTCACTATTTTACCTTCATTGAATGTAGTGTTGCTGTAAGGTAGTAAGTAATGTTGAGTAATGCTAGTCCATCAATCACATGTGCTTCAAAGTTTGTTTTTTACACTATCAATAACATTTTGCTTTTCAAGCAGGAATAAGCTGGTTGGCCAAATAGTCCCTTGAGGGCCAAGCACTTGTTCATTTCCCTAAATTAATGAAATATTAACTTTTATACGTATAACCATGTATTCACACACGCCATAAAGCCCCTATTTTACAAATAATAATGCAGTCAGGAGATGGTGTGATGCAATGAGTGGTTTCCACATTTTTAAACATTTAAAATGCATGAAAATAAATATTTTCCATCACTTTGTTTATCACTCTTGAAATGACCTGTACATGAAATAATCTAACCCTCATACTTGCATAACAATAGCAGTCTATTTGTTTAGTGGTCCAAGTTGAAGTCAGTATGTATATTAATGACATATGGGACAAATATAATGTAATTTATTGGCGGCAGGAGCTGCACGTGGTACGTGTACAGTCAGACAAAACAACGTGCACAGTTATCAAAGACGCGATGCGCATACAGTCGTGGAAAACGATGTGTTCGGCAGTTAAAGACGCGATGCGGCGCGTCTGTGGGGTGCGCGTCATGGGAAACGATGTGCTCAGTAATTAAAGAGGAAGGGCGGCGTTTCTGTTATTTGGTTTGTGACATCCTTTACGGGAAACGCCGGCGCAAGGCTGCTCACAGCACTTGGACACGCGTCGCACCAGAACTGTTTTCAGAATCGAAACTTATAAATTGCTTACGGTTCCGGTTCTTTTAAAAAAATGGAACCGGTTCTGAATAAGAATCTTATTCAGAACCGGTTCTCGGTTCCCAACCCTAGCCATTACCTATATTGTACTGTGGTACAGTTATGGAGGCCCTTCATAATGCAGAGGTCAACTGCCTGCTCTGCCAATAGTTATAAATGGCACTATAGTATGCAGTGTTTAATAAACAGCTGTTTTACTAAACTCTGCTGAGGTGAAATTCAGTGCAGTCCCGTATCGTATCGTGGCCTCTGTATCGTGATACGTATCATATCGTGACTTTGCTGGTGATACACAGCCCTAGTTCAGTGTTTGCATTCTGAAAAAATACTGAATCTGCTGTTTTAAAACTGCATTTGTATATAAGTATTTAGCAGAAGAAAAAATCAGAAGCAGAAGCATATTTAGTTTGATATTGATTTTTGTCATTTGATATAACATGAAAGAAGAAAAGACGTTGGATTGATTGTTGTGAGGAAGAGAATAGGGCAAGTCAAACAAGTACAGTGCATTGCTGCTGAAATTTGCCTGGTGTCTTTATATATGTACATATGTATGTTGAGTGCCATCCACACAAAATTGTTGAAAACAATAATTGCACATTTTATTATAATGTTCTCTCCTTTAAAATCATGCATTAACATGTTAACTACAAAAGACTGAGATTCATTGTGATTAATTAATTCCAGATCGATTGTCAGATTGCACAAAACTGATCAGCAGTCTGTTAATAACCTGAATCATTCCACATATATGCAGTGTTAGACTTTGTTCCTAGTGGCATAGGCTTGATAAATGTAGAGCCCAAATCTAGGGCATGTCATCTTTCTTCCCCTCAGCTTGTTTTTGTTCTTCAGTGTGACCTCACTTGCAGTAGCTGTGCATATGTTTTTTTTAATGTAAAGCTCAATATAAAATGCATATTTTCCAGGCCCTTTGTATTGAGCGGTTGCCTTTGTTTGGTTTACTTCTCTGTATAAATACCCAAATGTAGCAGTATTAGCAAGTGTCTGCCCCTTCTAAATTGGGTCTGTTCTGAGCCCTGCCCCTCCTCCCTGCGCTTCACAGGCGAGGGAAAATGAGGATGATGATGAAGGTGCCACGGTGGACTCTGCAGTGGGTTCAGGCTCAGTGGCCGAGAGCACATCTCTGAACCTGGAGCTGCGCTCCGAAGCCTCCAGTGCCACTGTGAGTACTCACAAAGGCCCCTCCTCTGCTCTCAACCCTCTACGGACACCTTGGCAATTGAATTGCCATTAGCTAGTACATTTTTTTGTTTACTCGCCAAACTGAAATACTATACTATACTATATATATATATATATATATATAAGTTATGCCATTTTACAAACATATATAATGTTTGTAAAATGGTACAGATATGCGAGTGATTTACTCGCAATGTAGAGGGTTGGCTCTTGATGCCTGAACTGAACATTGATCAGGATGTAATGGGCATGTAAGGTGCAATCTAGAGGTGCTTCTGTTCCTTTAAACAGATGGGAGATTTGTTTTATATTTATTTATTTAGCTTGTTTTACCTGTTTTTCTAGTTTGTCATTGAATGTCATTGGTTTAGTCTTATAGAATTGGCTCATTTTTTGTATGAATTAATGGCTAATTGTGACATTAATGCAACACAGCATTGACTTGTATGTACTACAGCTGATTATATGTCATTTTAAAATGTACTTTGGTGCGATATAGCAGACTGCAGGAAGAAATTTGATGCTGACTCATTTCCATGGTACTGTGTGATGATGATATTTGAAGCGTATGCAGCTCAACAGGTTCTTCTTGGTAGATGCTGCCCTTTTATTTTATTTTTATCCTTTAGTTAGAGACGATACCATTCTTAGATGCTCACTGGCTAATTATCTGCTGCTGGTCGCTGATAGTCTAATAATGTGTTCAGGAAAGTAAGTGTCCTTGGTCTTAGAGTTCATCTGAGGATAAAGCAACCAAAAGCCTCACAAGGAAAAGAGAGCTTTATGGCACTTTTCCACTGTGTGGTACAGCTCTGTACGGCTCGACTCGCTTCACTTTTTCACTGCGTGGTATGGCTCGGCTCGCTTGCTTTTCCACTGCAGTTAGTACTAGAGATGAACTGATTGACTGGCCAGCCGATCCTTTTATTGCCAGCGGTGCCAGCAATGACGTCACAGCCACGCGCACACTCACAGTCACGTGTAAACATGTCGTTTCACGTGAGAATGATTCTAATTTTAATTGCATTCAGTGTAAACGATAATGTATTTATGTCCTGCCAGATGAGGCTTGCACAGCCTGAGTGAGTGTGTGAGAGAGACAGCACACACAAAGTAACTCACAGAAATTTATAGATGCATACTGCAGTAGAAAAAAGATATTTACAAAATATGATTTAGGTAAGCAACATTATACGGCCATGTTTCCCCGAATATCAATATCAACACGATTGCAATGTGACACTGATTTTATACAATAGTATTTCAATAAACAAGAAGTTAAAATGAAGTGACTTAGATTTTAGACAAAATATTGACACTTTTTGCTCAATTTCGCTGACGAAAATAGTTCTGATCAAAGCCACAGCAGGACTGTTGTGTGTCTCCGAGCAACACACAGTGGTGTTTCGTTACTGAATGAATCAATGTTTTTGAACAAATCGAGTGAGTCAATGATTCAGTGGCCCATTCATGAGGACAGTCACTTGCCTCGTTTCTGAATGAATCAGCCGTTTGAATGAATCGGTTGAATGAATGAATAAATGACTCACTCATTAAAACAGACATTTGCCGCCACCTACTGGTGGTTTAGTCATATTTAAAAGTATCATTGCATTTTTTCAACATTTATTTGTATGTTCAAAAAAATATTTATAACATTAATCTTATAAAATTATTTATGCATTTGAAATTTTGCAGTGTAAATGCATTTATGGCACCTCAGCTTCATCAAACTGTCTGTGTAAATGCATCTAATGCCACTTCAGATGCAGCTTCTGTTTCCTCAGCAGTGGAAAGATAGAGTTTGTTAATACTAATTTAATTTGAATGGTAACAACTCTACAGTTTCTTATTATTCTAACTGAATTAATTGAAACAAAGTAAGAATTTGATGTGAAAGATGACACATTTATTAAGGTTAGAAATCGGTAGCGGCAGGTCACACTTCCAAAAAATCGGAAATCGTAATCGGCCAAGAAAATTGCAATCGGTGCATCTCTAGTTAGTACTGCTTCAAAGTGGGTGGGATTATAGACTAGTTGCGCCGCCTCTACTACCATGATTCGTGACTTGTGTCGCAAATCCAGTGACGCTGGTAGTGACGATTCTCTCTGACCAATCAGTGATCTGCAGTGTTAAAGGGGTCATATGATGTTGCTAAAAAGAACATTATTTTGTGTATTTGGTGTAATGAAATGTGT